CGTTGAACAGCTCGGCGACGATCAGCGCACCAGGATTGTCACTGGCATGCAAAAAAATATGGAGACGTTGGATCTTCGGACGGATTCACGGTAGTCATCGTCTAAATCGCTCAAATATGTAACAGATCTGATCGAAAAACAGTGAATCGAATATAACAGAGAACGATCTGAAAATCGTATGAGAACGATCGATCACAAAAAAAAAAAACAACAGATCAACGAGAAATTGGATCGAACAGCAGCGGAATAACAGGATCTATGCGACTGATACCATATCAAGTAACAATCGAGCTCATAGAGAAGAAAGATTGAAAGATTGCATTAAGAGAGAAAAAGGGATCTTAGTTTTGTACAGAGAAGAGAGAAGGCGGAGAGAATGAAAAGTGTGTAAAAACTAACTAGGGTTTACAATGGAATGAGTATTTATACTAATGCTAAATAACTAAAGGTGCTAAAGAGGGAGTAGCACTTTTATTATAGAATAACACAACTAATACAAAAGATATTTAAAGGTAAACATATATAATTCTATTAATATAACTGCCCAACGGTTATAAGATTAGTTCTACACTTCTACTAATGATCAAGTTTTAGTTAATATATATAATTTTTCAAGAAATCTTGGAGATAGTAACAGATATTAATTTTTAGGGAAAATTACACTTAACCCACCTAACTATAAGGTTTTTTGCACTTTATTCACTCAACTTTTTTTCGTGATACTTTGCCTATATAACTTCGAAAAAAATTGCACTTAACCAATTACCGGTCACTTTGCCTACAATATAATACAAATACAAAATGCGAACAGCCTAAATTTTAAGAAAAAAGTTTAAGTTTTCCCTAACTATGTAAAATAATTATGTGAGTTAAGTGTAGTTTTCTCTAGTTTTTATCAATAAAACTGTTATTAGACAAACATAACCGTTAGAGATTTGTAACTTTTCAATAGATATGCATAATTTTTAATTGAAATGTCATATTTCAAAAATATTATAAACAAAATTATGATATTTTTATTGCAAAATTATGCATTTTTTGTTCAAGAAAATAACATGATCGACCCACCTAACAGTTAGGCTGACTCATACCATAATTTGTGCAGTCTTCATTTGAAAATTTATATATTTTCTCAAATACCCTCATTTTTTCTCAAATTTTCTTTTCCCCCCTCCCCCTTTCACCAAGTTAAGTGTAAAAGACTTGATAAATACTTAGACACAAGTCCCTGAAATTTTATTCAACTTTCCAAGATTTGAGTGTGTGTGTGTGTGTGTGAGAATGTGAGATTTTCTTTACTTGCAAAGTGGAATATGCATTTAATGTGTTCTGATTTTTGCTCTGTTTTCTTGTTTTTCATCTGCCCTTCATTTTTATTTGCCTTTTGTCTCCTTTGTTATGAAGTGTGACCTCATAGCCAAGAATTTTTTTAGAATTAATTACAAAAGTCTACCTGTAATCTGGTCTAATTATGAAAAGTTCCCCTCACTTGTTCATTTTTTTCAAAATCGCACCATTTAGGAGGGGTTATATAACTTATACTATATCTCATATTTTCTGCATATTTGAAATCTTTGATGGGTTTTAAACTTTTTTTAATTACATTTTAGAACATTTTTGTATCTGCACAAGACTTTTGGGGCTCTTTTCATAATTAAGCTAAACCTCTGGGTGATTTTTGTATTTTTTTTTCCAATGCTTGCAAGTTTTTGGACAGAGGAAGTGCAATTTATAACCATTGACAAGAATTTAATAAAGAAAAACATTTATATCAGGTTGGCTCTTACATGCTTGGAGCCAAAAATTATGGAACAATATTCAAGAAAAATTGAAGACAAAAAGAGGCAACAATCTCTAGTAGAGACTCAAACTCAAAGTCATGTGTTGATTGATGAGGTAATTTTTGTTTATTTATTTATTTATTTATTTGCTTTTTAATATTATGCAAGAACATTATCAATCATTTGTATAGATTGAACAGCTTCATAAAGAGCTCGATCGCCAATCGGCCTTACGTTTATCGCTAGAGAACGCGATAAATTGCCCGCCTTTCTTTGATGATCCTATGTATAAATCAATTTCTCAGGTACTAAATTAATACTAATAATAAATCAAACATTATTTTTAAATTTTCTTTCACATGTACTCTCAAAATAATGAATTCTTGATTGCTTTTCATGTCATAACATTTTTCACCAGCCAGCAGAGGATCTTATCCGAGAAATTTCTCGTCTCGAATTAGAAATATTGTACCTCGAAAAATATCTCCTCTCATTGTACCGAAAAAATTTCGCCAAAAGGCTCTCGTTTGCTCTATCCAGTCGAGCAGAGGAGCGAAAACCGGAAGCTAGCTTAGAATCATCAGCCAACGAAGAATATTCTGGAATATTCCGAACCCACTCGTCGTTATCTCACGTCTCGGCTTGTTCCTTTAGGGCTTCTTCACCAACTTACGAGGCCTTGGACACTTATCATTCGTTGCCTTTATCCATGCTCGAGGTAGCTTGTCTTAAATTAGTTCAATGTCAAGTTGAAAACAAATTTTTTGCCGATAAAATTAATTTATCATGCGTTTGGTTCGTCTGATTATCGTTATTAGAGGACTAATGATGGGACTACAAACGAAAATCCGACGGTGTACAATGTTCATGAGGCGCCTAATTGGGTATCTGAAGAGATGATCAAATGCATCTCGACCGTTTATTTTCACCTCTCTGATAATAATTTGCCATTCGACTCGTGGATCGACAAAGAACCTTCCGGAACTTTCGCCGCGACTTTCGAGATACATGACCTTGTAAGAGACTCAGAGAAGATAAATTCTGTTCAGGACATGTTACATAGTTACAGGTATTATATTAGTGAGTGAAGAAAACATAAAATGTTTAAGGGTTTATTTATCTTGTTATTGTTAAAAATATGCAAATATGTGATAAAAATTTTTTTAGGTCTCTGATTTCTAAATTGGCCCAAGTTAATCCTGGGAAGTTAAGGCATGATGAGAGATTAGCATTCTGGATTAATGTCCACAATTCATTAGTTATGCATGTAAGATTTTTTTTTTTTTTTTTTTTTTT